CCCGGGGCCAGCCCTGCCCCGAGCATCCCCGATCTCCAGGTGCTTTCAGAGGCAGGGACCGCGGCAGTTGGGTGCCCATTGCATTGCTCTAGCTCCAGCCTCGGGCGAGCGGTGAGAGCAATCCCAAAGGGCCTGGTGTACGTGAGACTGTTTGGACAAATAACCCCCATCCAAACCCTGGGCTGGGGCTTGCCTTGCTCCTAAGCCCGGGGAGCTGAGCTTCACCCAAAGCAGCATCTGTGTCCCCGTGCAACCCAGCGAGCAGATAAATGTCCCTCCCGCGCCCCGCCAGCCCAGAGGGGACCCCAGCAGCCCTGACATGGGCACCCTGTTGCTTTCTATAAAGCAAGCTCTGCACTTACAGATTGTGTTTGCTTAACCCCAGCCCTGCTCCCTCAGTCCCGTCTCTTTGTTTTTCCATTCCTGGCAGTCATTAACGAATGAGATTTGTCCAACTATCAACGAGACTTCCCATTATAAATAGGCAAAAATGCAGAGGCCAGGGAGCCAAGCAGTTCGACAATTACTCTCGGTCCGTGCCTTCGCCCCTCGGCCAACACGGGCGCCGGCGTGATCCGGCAGCACAGGCAGCAGCAAAGTGGCTTTACAGACCCGGTTTTCCTGCAAAGCCCCTTGTGCAGGAGGGGATGGGGGGACGCGGTGGGTGTCCCAGTCACCTGGCGTCACCCACTTCGCCAGTGTGAAGTGGTGCCCTTGGGGCAGGGATCCCTCGTGTCACCTTATTTCTTGAGGTGTGGTAGCTGGCACTAACGAGGCAGGATCTGGCCAGGGCCTCTAGCAGGGACGGTCTTCCTAATGCTATCGTCATCGTTATCTGAGCATGAGTAATACCAGATAGTGCTTAGGGCAAAAGCAGGCGTCAGCTCCGGCACAGAGCATCCCATTCCGGTCCGGGGCAGGCTCTGTGCGTCAGGGTCAATGGGCTGTAGCCAAAATCCAGCGGATGCCAATGCGAAGCATGCCAGACCCTGAAACCGTGAACCCTTTGCGCTCTGCTTCTCCGTCTGCCGATTACCATGCACGTATCTCAGACTTCAGTGCTACGCCGGCACAGAGGAAGCCTTCATCTCTCAATTTCCCAAGCTTTTGCAGGTGGAAAGCTGACCCTCGCAGTTACTTTAATGCAGTCTTTCGCTGGGTAACGAAACACACTCGAGCTGCTTTGCTCCCAGATCAAACCGGGGACGCACGCTACGGCTCAGCTACGGCGAGAGCTAATTCTTGCCGCGTGCGAGCCAGCTCCAGTGCGCTCGGGGAAGAGCCTTTGGTTAGTTAGGAAGAGGAGTGTTATCTGAGCCTTTGCACAAACCAGAGTCAGATTTGCACGCGGAGCATCTGAAGGCCACCGGCTGTGTCTTTATTTTATCAGCAGGCAGCGCTGTGCTACAGAGAAGCCGATTCTAGGTCAGCCATAAAAGGGATTTTTATTTTTTCCCGTCGCCTTTTTTTGCAGCGCATAGTGCTGCAGGCCCACTGGATGTAACGCTGCAAATTGTGTGTCTCCAAAGGATATTGATTTTGGGGTAACGCCTTCATATCTTGCCCTTCAGTTGCGCTAAGTACCGATGAGCTCAGCAGTTTTGACTGTGAGCCTCTCGGGTGGGAATTTCAGCGCGGGGCTGAAGGCGCGGGTGGACGTCAGCAATTCATCACGGCGGGTTGCACGGGAAAGCTCACTTCAACCCTTTCCGAAGCTCGCAGGGCAGCGCGGGGCTGCCTTCCCAGTTGGGTCAGCCTGGGATGGTGGGATGCACGCGTGTGTGCACGCAGGGTCCTCGGTTCGGCTGCCGGGTGTGTGAGGGAGCAGCGGACGTGCAAAGTCCCGGGGCCGCCGTGTGGAGGTGGCTGCCACGAGGTCTGGCGCAGGGGAGAGCCAAGGTGTGATTTCATTACGGCTGAGCATATTTGCACTAGTTTGAGCTGACAATAGCGGCACCTGGGATCGCAGCGGCAGGATCCGAGCGGGTGCCCAGGGAGCTCGCCGTGTGGGGGCGTTACAGAAATTGCATCAGCGCTGGCGCGGGGCCCTGAGTGCAAACCCCAGCGTACACGTGCTTTCAAGACGGCTGCCGTGGCGGGCAGAGGGGTGTGACCGTGCTCACTATTTATGTACCGCGGGAAGAGATGCTATAAAAGTATCAGCTGGTGGGATGCAGACGGCGTGTGCCCCGACGGGACCCTCCCACGCGTACACTTTGCAAGCATTTGTTAGGAGCAAGATGCATACAGTTGACCGGTCAAGCATAGCGAGCCGTGGCCCATCAGGTCACGCTAGCGCAGAGGCTGCGGTAGCCCGGATGGGAAGCGAGGGTGAGCACGGGATCGCCCGGCTCCGCCGGCCAAGATTGCCGCACCCCCTGGGGACCGGGGACCTGCGCTCGGCCTCTCTGCCATTGGCACTCACTCCCAGAAACAGCTGTCCAGAGCTAATTTATTTCCTAATGCTGCAGCAATGTTAATTTATAAATTACACTGGTAATTCGAGCTATTATTAATTTCAGATGGTGTAGGGCAAGCCTAATTAAAATATGACACCAATTGCCACACATATGTACCAAGGACTACCGTTTAAAATTTATAGGAATATTAAGTGTGACACTGGTCTCGGAGATGCTTTGCACAGTAATTACAGCATCTCAGCTGCGGGAGATCCAATGGGGAGATGTAAACGAAAGGAAAGGAGAAGTTGTCCCCATCTGGGGACTGTCGAAAACCCGCTTGTGCCCTTCGTTCAGGGGCCAGCTGCATTTCTCCGGGACATTTAGTGGACGTGTTCTAATTGCCGGGTTTCTTTATTTAACTCTGCATTTGTTGTAACGCCGCAATCTCTGTCAACCTGGAGACTATCGCGGCCCAAAACCTGCGCCTCACCAGCCGAGCGCCGCGGGTTTTCAGGCGCACTTCAAAGCGAAGAGGGCGCTTGGAAAGAAGGGGGGGGGGGCATAAGATGCCAGACAAAAGGAAAGGCCGCCGATCGCATCTGCCCGACTTTGAGTGAAACCAGGAGCTGTGGTGCAGCCCGAGCAGGGGAGAGGGGGGCGAGCACGGCCCCCCCATGGGTACCGCAGAAATGAGCCTGGAGCGGCACAGGGACAAAGCGTTTCAGCTGGAGGGAGATGTTGGCACCACGACTAATGGGAATAAACTGGCTGTGAATTAACTGAAGCTGAAAAATTAGAGAGGGGTGTCTATGCAGAGAGCAGGACGGGCCCAGCAGTCTCTCTCAGCAGAAGGGTGGGATGGCATGCGCCAATGGCAAGGAGAGATGATTTAAGGTCATTCTAGCAGGGTGCAGGTTTGGCGAGGACCACTATGCACACGTTGGGCACGTTATCTCCAGCAAGCGATGCTCTGTGGGGCCAGGGCCAACACAGAGGTCCAGCGCTCGCAGGCACCTTTCTGTCGGGAGTTTTCTTGGGGTGGAGGGGTGGTGGGGCGCAGGCATGTGGGCATGCTGGGAGCTGGGACTTTGGAGGTGGATCCTATGGCAGTGTGACATGGTCACAGACGGTGACTGGCCTGGTGGTCAGGGGCTTGCCGTTCCTCCCCGTCGCTCACGGCCCTCTCCCTCTGCCCCTGCAGCCGTGGGCTTCATCAGCGAGGACGAGTACCTGGAGATCACGGGCATCACACGGGAGCAGTCGGGCGAGTACGAGTGCAGCGCCTCCAATGACGTGGCAGCGCCCGTCGTCCAGCGAGTCAAAGTCACCGTCAACTGTGAGTAGCCTGGGGGCTGTTGGGGACCGGGGATGGAGCGGGTCACGTGCTGCCCCGCGAGGGGATGGGACTTTGGTAGTGGGAAGCGGGGCGAACCCATCCTGTGGGCCCCAGAGCTGAGACAGGCAGCGGCAGTTTTCTGAGCAGGTGGTGTTTTGCCCTTTTTTCCCCTTATTTTCAAGCTCCATTTTTTTCCACCACCTCCTCCTCAGCTGTCTCCATCAACCTGGGTTTTCCGCCCATGGTGAGATGCTGTGCTGATAACCTCCAGGGAGAGGAGAGAAGTGAGCAGTAAATGGGAATTTTTTTCCTTTAGAAAAAATGCGAGAGAGAAAGAAAAAGAGTGCGGAAGAAAGCAGCACCGTTTGTGCTCAGAGACAGAGGTGAAAACCCTCCTAAACTCCTCTCTGGCCACCCCTTCAGCTGCATGGGGTTGGCACAGGGTCGCACATGGTTCCCGAGAGTCGTGGGGCTCTGGTCCTCGGAGAAGCCCGCACTAGGCTGCGGCGTGGGGTCTCCCATCTGCCCAAAACCCCCTGGACAGCGGCGCCAGAGTGGCAGGAGCTAGGCGTGGGCTCAGAGATGATTTTGACTCCTTCCTAAATGCGGGGAAAGAAAAGGGAGCTTGAGGAGCAAGGGGAGGGGGTGGGAGGCCCGGGGCTGCCAGGCACTGAACCCGGACTTCCATCTTCCCCGCAGACCCGCCGTACAGCTCAGATGCGAAGAGGCGCGGAG